TATTAATTAAATATGTTTGATTAATTTAATTTTCAATTTATAAAATATTATACTAGTTCATTTTTTATTGATGGGTAGATAAAAGATAGATGATAGATAAGAGAGAAAAAGCGAGAGTGAATTACTTAGAAAATAAAAATCATCACTCTCTAAAGAAAATATTTTTCTTATTTTTGAGGAAAATATGATCACATGACCAAAAGTTGAAAAATATTTTTGCATAAAAAAGATTATCAATCAAACACCTCAAAAGTAAGAATTTGGGTGAAAAATGACATTTTACATAAAAATAAAGTCAATCAAACACACTTTTACAGATTAAGCCCTAATCTATATGCGACACTAAGGGTTTGTTTGCCGCGACTTCTGTTTTTATTGTTTTCTTAGAAGATCTTTTGGAAAAAGTTACTTTAATTTTTATTTGAAAACTAATTTTTTAAAGAGTTTTATATTTCGAAAGTGTTTTTTGAAGGAAGTCATATCGGACCAGATTCATCCAAAAACTCTTCTAATTAGAAGAAACACTAACATTTATTATCACTCCTAAGGCTGTCCGTGAGTCGGTTCGGTTCGATTTTGAAGAGACCCGAACCGACCCAAAACTTTCGGGTATTTAATAAATGGAACCATCGGGTCCAAATATAATTATGGAACCGTTTGAGTTCGGTTCCGGTCGGTTCCGTACCATAATTAAATTTTTTAATATTTAAAACAATATTATATAAATACAACTAATGACATTTCATTCGTAACTTTTACAAATTAACGTCGCCCAATTCAAAAACATATAAATAACTAGCCGTCCAACAAGATTAATTCAATGCATACAAATACCAAAAAGTAAATATTAATATTACAGCAACACTACATAAAGTATATTTATTTGCTTCAAATTAAAATGGACTAATGGGCTTTAAAAATGATTTGGGATTTAAAATTAAAATTATGAAATAATCTGATTTATTTAATTAATTTGCTAATTTGTTTAGAAAAAAATAAAATAATTTAATTAATTCAATATAAAAAATAAAAAATTATTTAGTTTCTGTTCTTGGTCTAGACCCGAGACCCGACTCAAACCCATTGATTCTCGATTCGGGTACCCGTTCGGGTATTTAATTTATGAAGAACCGCTCGGTTCGGTTCGATCCGGTTCGAGACTTTTGGACACCCCTAATCACTCCCCTTAAGAGTCATGCCAAATGGACACTAACACTCCCCTTATAATAATGGTATTATAGTGAATTAAGGCAGATAGTAACAATTAATTTTTTCATTCAAAAAAATGTCATTTAATATCTTTATTTGGCCTAAGCTCTCCTCCATCCTCTATATCATGTTACACGATTGATGGTGCAGTTGACCATCTTTTGCATGAAAAAATAGTATCCATCTTAATCAACCACACTACTACTATCTACGTATTCATATCCATAATAAATTTGATTTTACATTCCTTAAACGACCTATGCCAAAAAGTGGCCAAATTTAACAGAAACCACCAAACTATAAATGTGAAGTGCTGCCCCTTCAAGATCTCAATAAAAACTTCAAAGATATATGCCTTAAACATGAGTCCAAAAACAATAAAAAATGTATAAATTCCAAGTTGCAATAAAATTAACAATCTTTCGAAATAGAACAACTCTTCATGACTTCACACAATAATTTGCACCAGTTAAGGTTCTTCATTAGAACTGAAGAAAAAAATGTTTGTGTTGACACACAAAAAGTGTAACCCAAATTGAATAATCCTAGGGATGAAGCCCTATCGGAAAGTCCAGGATAAATGCCCAAATAAGACCATTGATGAATGAGGAAATTACACTGAGCCCTGGTTTTAGTTTTCCATTTTCACAAATCACCTCATAAGTTTAGTTTTTTAAAAATCAGGTTTTTTATATTTAATTTAATATTAATTATATAATTTTCATCCAAATTAAAATAACCCAAATCAATCCGAAAATTCATAAATAAAAAATATTTAATAATTCATAAATAAAAAATTAAAAAACCTGAGTTGTGAAATTTGAAACTTGTTTTTGTATTTTTGAAAAGGTGTAAAGTAAATACCTTAGAA